AGTGAGCATCCTGGGACGTAATGGCTATTCATGATGACCCTCTCCCTCCCTCTCTCTCCCCTCCCTTAGTTCTCGTGCAAGGCGGACTCGCTGGCTCCCCACCCTCCCAATAGTCCGGAAGGCAAAGCGCATTAAATCTGTAACAGGTGGAACTTCCCCAAGCCTCTGTTGATCATTTGCAGGAAGAGGAGCTGGAAACCCCCAAGGTCCCAGCTTCTTCTGTGATCTGACCCGGGAGCAAGCACTTGTGTGTGTCCATGTGTCTGTTCGCCTTGGGTCTCTGCTGTTCCCAGGGATGCTGGTCACAACTGTGATCTACAGGGTGGCAGTGCTGTGGGATGGTTCAGTGATAAGCCTTGTTTTTAGATTTCTGAGCACATCACTGGTGAAAGCGTCTAAGTAATTGAAATGATATTGTTGACTCCTTTCTGTCCTTGGTCACTCCTGAAGTGTGCACCTATGGGGGCCGCGGGGCCAGCCTGTGCAGGTCCCCTAGTTCTCCAAGGACAGTGCCCAGCAGGAGGGAGAACTGGCCATAGCCATTGTCTGAGATCCTGGAGAATGATTGACTACATTCAGCTTTAAATTTTACCAAAGTTCTTTTTCTCTATTTTTAATTTAAAATCATATCAAAATAGACCCCAGATAATTAGCTTGCCACTGTGGAAAAGAACATAAAGCTTGAATCACCAGCAGTAAGTGAGGAGAGAAAACTAGGAATTTTACAGTAAATGCTAGCAGCAGTTCCTGGGACTCCAGAAGGGTGCTGGGCATCTCCCTGTGTGGGGTATGAATGAGAAGCTATTAGGGAACGTTGACTTGTTGGGACGTACCTTCATGCCATGAACTCACCCTCTAAAGGGTCACAGCTAAAATGGACATCCACCTCCACAGCCATGTTGGAGCACCTTCTCCGTCCCCAGGGGCAGCTCTGTGCCCCCTCGCAATCTCCTTTCCCCTCTGTGGCCCTGGCAGCCCCTTCCTGCCCCTGGATTCGCCCACTCTGGATACTTCGTATAAGAGGAATCACACAAATATGGCCTTCTGTGTCTGGCGTCTTTCGCAGTAGGTTTTCCAGGTTTGCCCGCGTTGTTTTGTCCCCTGACCCCGTGATATCCCCAGAATGCTTTTCCCTCCTTGTGGTGGATCATCTCATCTAGGGTCTTCATCGCATGTAATTGTTCCCCCTCTTTTCTCCTGACTTTAGAAGAATTATTCCACGCTTATCTCTTTTTTTTAATATTTATTTTTGTAGTTGGACACCTACCTTTATTCCATTCATTTATTTTTATGTGGTGCTGAGGATCGAACCCAGGGCCCTGCGCATGCCAGGCGAGCGTTCTACTGCAGAGCCACAGTCCCAGCCCTTCCACGCTTATTTATCTCTATGACATTCTCATTTTTTTTTTTTGTAAATTGGCTTCCTTTCATCATTTTGGGTTTTTCTGGTATTTGCTTCTGATTAGACTCAGTATGTACCCTTAGATTAGGACATTAGAGACATTTTGTCCTTCTCAGGGTATCACAGCTGGGCTTTTTCCTCTTGGTGATGTTCATGTTACCACTCAGTGAAGGGCTGTCCCATCTCTGCTGTGTAGTGACTTTCCCTTGCTTTAACGAGCAGTCTGTGGGAGCTCTGCAAATACCCCACTGCTCCTGGGGTGCCTCCTTTGGGGGTTCTTGGCCTGTTCCAGTCTCACAGTAAAAGCTGCAAAGGGACAAGTCCGTCCCCCCTCCCTGCTCCTGTCCCCGCAGCAGTCCCTCAGTTATAGGCCATTTTTTTTCCATAACCAAAAATCCCCACATCTTTCACACACTCTATTTATTATTATCTTTTTATTAGTTGCTTATTTAAATTATGTTTGTTGCCTGTTTATTATTAGAATGGGCTCAGGATTCTTTTTAATAGTTTCTAATTATTATTAACTTTTTTGGAGGTACTGGAGATTGAACCTAGGGATGCTTCACCACTGAGCCACAGCCACAACCCTTTTTTATATTTCTTTTAGAGACAAGGTCTTGCTGAGTTGCTTAGGGCCTTGCTAAGTTGCTGAGGCTGGCTTTGAACTCACAACCCTTCTGTCTCAGCCTCCCAAGTCGCTGGGATTATAGGCCTGCACCACTGAGCTCAACTTTTATTAACTCTTCTTAATCCTCCTAGCCTAGATTTTTCCGGATTTGGCCAGTGGGAATCCTTTGGGCCATCTCCTGTGTCCTCTGGGTATGATTTTGACATTCTCACACCGGAGAGTCTCACAAATGGAGATCCACCTGCTTTGCTGCATTCCCATGGGGTTCTTGAGTGCCCCTCTGCTTCCTGTGTGCTTCTGCCTCCCTTGTCCTGCGAGAACTCTGTCTTCAGGGGCATCAGCACATTTACCCTTGTGCTCACTCACAGTACAGACGAGCGGCTCCGCGCTGTGTGCCACGCTGCAGAGAAGAGCCTATTGAGAGGCTCCCTCGGCCCTCCTCCCCACCCTTCCTCCAGGACTGAAGGTGTGTGTGCCAGGGAGGTGTAATAGATGGCATGCCACCATTCCTCACCAGGCCTGGGAGCCGGGAAGGACAAGGTCATGGTCAAGAGTTAATTGTTGCACACAAAGAAAGTGATGGACTCCTGGTCAGTGCTCATCAGGTGTTTTTTACGTGCCTACAGCTATGGACTCTCCAGCCCGTCGCAGGGTTTAAACTACATTATTGTGCGGGAGAGTTGGGTTACCAGGAAGCAACAAAGCAATTAAAACGCCTTGATTTTATCTTGTGGTGTTCCTGCCCCAAATAATCAAGTTAGCCTCAGCTCTCAGACAGATGCCTTGAGAAGGGCTGGGTGGGGTGCGCAGAGCCCTGCGGGGCTTCCAACCTCCGCTCTGCCCATCGCACAGACGCAGAGGAGACTTCAGGGGCACCAGGCCCAGCCTCTGGCTCTGGAGGGTCCCATTTCATTAGGGAAGCCCTCTGCCTCGTGCTCACCCTTGTAGCTATCCATCCCACTGACTCTCAGCAGTTCTGCCAGTTTCTCAGCTGGGGAAATGTGCCTCGAGTGTTGGCGCAGGAGCTGCGCTGTAGCCTCATGTGGCCCTTGCCCATGGCAGACCTTCTTGAGGAGACCTAGTCATCAGGAGCCTCAGGCAGAAGGCTGCGTAGGAGTGAGTGGGGACAGCTGCGTGCAGGAAGGGGTGGACCTGTTCTGCATGGCCAGTCTGCAGGTGGCTTCTGCTGTAGCCCAGAGAAGCGCTCTAGAGTTCTGGCCCCAGGGACGGGTGCCTTGGAAGGCTGGATCCCCTCCCACTGTGGATATTTTGGGACTTTGGGCAGATGCAGCTGCATTTAGAGTCCCCCTGGGAGGTCTCCCTCCTGTCTTCCCTGAACTTGCTGGAGACGTAGCTGCAAAGGAGAAGGCTCAGCCTTAGGTGACGCCAGGGTGCCCAGGGCTCTCCGGCTCTGCACTTGCCACACTGAGTACTTTTGCTTTTAGCATCAGGGTTGCCGCTTGCTGCAGAGAAAGAATCATGGCTTTGGAGAGACCGAGGTTCGGTTCCTAGCTGCACCATTTCCTGTCTAAGGATTTGAGGGTCATAGATTCTCACTCTTATTCCTTGAGTCTTCCCACCCCATCCATCAGAGCTAAGAGTGAGTGTTGGGTCTCTGTGTCTGTGTTTGGGGCTTCTGTGCACCAATTTTCAAGCTGGGATGAGGGGTGAATGGCTGTGGGTGCCTTGCTCAGTGGTAGGCACCAGCTCTGTCTCCTTGCAGTCTGGATTGGGTTTGGATTGTTACCAACACTGAGTGGAGCTGGGGAACTCAGATCACACACTCGCCTTATAAAAGCAACATCCTGTCAGAGTTTGCAGTGCTGGTTCTTAGGCCCCACTGTTAGTGGTGCCCTGTGTGCCCTGGAGGAGCACCATGTGGGCTCAAAGCATGTGGTATGAAAAGCGTCTCAGGACCTTGTTCCTCTAGCACAGGGACCTCACTTGTGATGTTTGCAGCCTCTGCAGGTGCCAGCTCGAGGGATGGCTTGGCGTCCTGTAGAGGTTGTCTGCCTATTGCTAGACCCCTTGATTTGTGGGGACAGTCCTGGAAGAGGTCTGCTGTGTCCTGCTCATGTGGGATTTGGAGTGCTGGAGATGCCACTGCTTGGGGTCTCAGTCTGGGACAAATAGTCTCCTCTTTGGAGGAGTGTTGCTCCCTGGTGACGAGCACAGAGAATCCAGGCCCTGCAGGCTGTTGGAGCCAGGCCTGCCGCACTCATACATGCACAGATTGTGTCCCACAGGGTGCCAAGGGGAGTTCTCTTGGGTGCTCTGTGTGATTTTTTTTTTAACTGGGTCATCTTTTACCTTAAATATATATTATCAGAAATAAAAAGTAGTACCATAGTTTAAATGGAAAATAACATGCAAATTATTGAGACAAAGTGATCTTTTTCTTTGTTAACCGTATTACCTTGTGTTCTTTGGGAGGCCTGAGCTCCTGAGGGGCCTCTGGATGTGGGCAGAGAATGGAGGAGAACCTGGCACAGCTTTATCTGGTGACAGAACAGGACAGGGAGTCCTCCCAGTTGGCCCCGCGAGTGCTCTGAGTGCCTGCCAACCCAGGGTGCATCTCACAGCCGAGAGCCTTCTCAACATTGGATAAGTCTGCTTATGCAGATGCCTTGACAAGGCTGAGCTCTGCCTTCTGTGTTGGTAATAAGATGCACTTGGTGCCCGGAGACGATGCAGCGTGCATGTCAGACTGCAGCATCTGGACATCCCGAGAAGGCACAGGAGGTGTCCAGCTGGCAGGGTCTGGACGTTGGCCTCGCGGGAGAGTTCTTCAGGTGGGACCTGAGTTTGCAAAACCGTGGGCTTGCTTTTCTTTGTGGGGCTGTGGCTCTTTCTGAGAGCCCCCTCCCCCAGCCCCGTCTCACACTACTTAGGGAACTGCTTAGAGCATTTCAGAGAATCAACACATAACATTTTATTGACATACACTGAACATTATCAGCAATAGTTAGATTTGTTTTTAAATATATTTTATTGGGAACTGCTAAAGTTGCCATCATCATTGTTCCCACTATTATTTTGTAGAGGCAGATTTTTCAACCACACACGCCAGAGTATTTCTCCGTGTATCCCATTAACTGCATGCAGTTCTCGTGGTCTCATCCCACATTCACATAATTGCCAAGTCTGTTGTAAACAAATGCACGTCTAAACACATCTCCGAGCAGGTATTTCATTAAATGAGACCCTTTCTAGCTCCATGCAGCTCTCTCGGGTATTAGGAGCGGGAGCCGGGGGCGGGCAGGAGTGCAGCATTCCTAGAGAGGAAGGATGCTCAGGTGTGTGCAGGACACTTTTTTCCTTTCCCCTTCGACTCAGGGTGGACTAGTTTGCATGTGCATAGTGAGTTGCACATCTCAGACATCAGATCCAGTTTAGGTCTGTTGAGCAGATTCTGTTTCCAGACTTCCTTTCCCCCCCGGGTTTCAGGTATGCTGCGTATTTATCTGTAACTAAGATGCTTCACCCAGAAGGCCTCCCTCCTTTTGGCTTTTGGTCAATGGCAGAATCATTTTCCACTGGGGAAATAGTACGGTAGAGAAAGCTGAGTGACAAGCTGGTTCTGGTGCCCTTGGAGGTCAGAGTCACATGACCTGCGGTCGTGAGCACTGGGATGGGTGCAAGTCTGTGAGCAGGATGAAATCAGGAAGGGCTGGAGCAAGGTTCCCCAGCAACCCAGAAGGGGCGACCCTCGTGAGGCACTGAAGTTTGGGAGCGTGACTTGACCTGTGCCTCCGGCCCACCTTGCCCTGGGTGTGTGCAGTCCCTGTGACTAGCGCCATAGCTGGGTCCCTGCCGGGGAGTCCTGTCACACAGCACTGCTGAACTTGACATCCGACTGCTCGGTGCTGTCCGGAATGACTGCCTTCAAGGCGGCGTGGCAGAAGCGGTTCAGAGCTGGCAGGTTTGTCTTCTGCTCCACGTACAGCCTCAGTTTGTCCCTGAAGGTCTCCCCAAGGAAACTGTAGATGAGGGGGTTCAGACAGCTGTTGGAGAAAGCTGCGAGGTTGACGATGTGGCCGGTCAGGGGGTAGGCATGGCGGAAGGACTGTTTGCAGGGAGCAGCCCCCGGCTGGGTGCGCTGCAGGAGGTGGACGCTGATGAAGACGTTTTCCGGCAGCCAGCAGATGAAGAAGACCAGGACCACAGCGAAGATCATGCGGAGCGCTTTCTGCCTCCGGGGGCGCAGGCCTCGGTGCTTGTGGGCTTTGACAAGGACGCGGATGATGAGGGAGTAGCAGAGCCCAATGATGGCAAAGGGAATGATGAACCCCAGAGTGACCTCCAGCCACTGCACCTCCCTGACGTCTGCAAAGCAGAAGCAGACCTCCTCTGTGTGCTGCAGGTGGACGGCTGTGAAGGGCACCAGGGTGGCCGAGACGGAGGCCATCCAGATGAGACCGCAGCTCAGCCTGGCGTGGTGCTTTGTTCGGAAGAGACTGGAGCGCATGGCTTTTGCCAGTGCGATGTACCTGTCAAAGCTCATCCAGGTGAGGAAGAAGACACTGCTGTACATGTTGATCTGCAGGAAGAGAGACATGAAGGTGCAGAGCACGGCAATGTCATAGTACTGCTCGTCCAGGTTGAATACCTCGATCAGGGAGTCGGCCACCAGGATGAGGTCTGCGGCCGCCAGGTTGATGAAGTACAGGTCGGGGATCGTCATCTTCTCACGGAAACTGATGTTCACCACCAGGATCAGAATGTTCCCCACAAAACCAATGGGAAAGAGGAAGATAGTGTAAAGACAGGAGAGAAAGAGGCCAATGACATACTGCTGGTGCTCAGAGAGGTCCCCCGTCTGGTTCACCAGGGCAGTGCCTTGTAGTGGAAGAGACAGGTTGAGTTCTGGGGAGGTGCTGTTGGAGTCTGCCAACTGTGTGGTACCTGGGTAAATCTCCATGCCAAAGGTGTGGGCTGGAGAGGTCACATCCATGTTGCCACTGTGCTGTCTTCAGCATTTGCCAGAAGGGTCACAGAAATCAGTTTGCAGCGGTGGCTCCATCTTTAGAGAGAGAGGTGATTCTCTCTGCAGAGAGCCGGACATTTGGGTTTGACAGCTGTAGAAAGTTGAATGCACAGGTGCAGTTGGTCTGCAGCAGAAGCTGGCTCGTGGCTAGTGGGGCGCTTGGCACTCTGGTCGGCGGAGCTGGCTCATGGCTGGAAGACGCCGTACACACTTACCATCTGGACACCAAGGAGAGGCAGACAGGACAGGACAGGGCCGAGCTGTCGTAGGTCACAGAGCAGTAGAGAGAGGCCAGAACTCTAGGTTTCGTTGTCTTGGGGAGATGGTTGTCCCTGAGCTGAAGGAGAAGAAATAAATGTGGAAAACGTCCTGTCTCTTCCCCAGGGGTTCCCATGCTTGCCTGGTTTAAATTGGAGACGGGCCATGAGTCATCCCCAGATGCAGTGAGTGGGTCACAGGCAGATAGCAGGCTCATGAAGTAGTGTGGGTATTAAGTATGGGAATCTTAGGAAAACTACCATTTGTTGGGACAGGAAATAAAATTTATTTCAGCAGCTGTTGGAAAGAGAAATAACATGGGAAGGGAAAAACCCAGCTTTTTTTTTTTCCCCCCTGAAAGGTAATGGACCCAGAAAACCTAGTGGAATCTGAACAAAGTCTTTTGTCTTGCAATAAAATAGGCAAAAGAAATCCAGCATTTTTTGGTAATGCTACTACTAAGTTTGAGTGCCAGAAATGAAACTATTTTCTGTAATATAGAATGAAAGAGAATAAGGAATAAAAATGGTCATTGTTTAAGAAATAATGTTAGCTGGGTGTAGTCCCAGCTACTCAGACTGAGGAAGGAGAATCGCTTGAGCCCAGGAGTTTGAGGCCAGACTGCGACACAGGACACCCTGTCCCCAGGGAGGGAGGGAGGGAAGGAGGAAGGATGAAAATGTTATTCAGTTATTTGTAAAATGTTATTTAACCAATTATGTAAAGCCCAGTTTATTTTTGTAATGCTGTTTTAGCATAGAAACTGGGTAAAGATGGGGACGTGGAGGTGCCACAGGGTTTCCTGTGGCTTACTTGACTCCTTGTGCCCCTGAAGTTCTCTGGAGCAACCAGGGTTTTCAGCTGGCACATTGGCAACGTCTGGAGACGCCTGGAAATGTGGGGGTGTCCCAGCTGGGGCGGGGGAGCATCTAGCCGTTGGAGGCCAGGGATACTGCTGAGCATCCAACAGTGCACAGGACAGCCCCCTCCCCAGCAAAAGATTTCCGGCCTGAGCGTCAGTGTCTGAGGGCGAGAAGCCTGGAGTCAACTGACCTGCCTCAGGAAGATGGTTTGGGTTGTTTTTCTTTTGGAATTTCGTTTCATTCTTTGAGGTCATTGGGCATCATTTTGAAGTGTTGCAAGACCAGACTAGAGATTTACTGACCTATCTCGTGAAAATACTGCTAAGAAAAAAGGAAAATAAGGAAGAACAGATCTCTGCCTTGGCGCAGGTATGATTCTGAGGGTGTTCAATAACCTTTGCCGAGTGGGGGTTGATGGATTTGTTTGTATTGGTTATTTTACATTCTTTATTCATCTTTAATAAGTAGTACCAATTTGAGCAGTGTAAATGTCACTGTTCTGAGATTCCATCTGTAATATTGGAAGCCTCTGGATTTAATTTCTTTTTAAAAACTGCCCAGGGCACTAGTTCTGTTCTTTGAATGTGGAAATTCTGGCAGGTATCAGACTGCAGTTGGAGAGGGCAGTTTAAAGGTGAGCAGACCCTTGACACAGGTGCCTTCTCTTCCCTACACTACTGAATAAACTCTAGGGAACAGGTTAAAATAAGCCATTTGTTTCTTTTCCATGTAAATGGAGTCTTTCATCCTTGACCAATACTGCTATTGTATAATGGTCTACAGAGAAGATATGGGAGTTTGCTGTGAAATTTACAGCATCCTTATTAAAGTTGGCTATGAACTGAAAATCTAAAAGTGGGTGTTAAATAGTTCCATATCGTTTTGTTTCAAGTTTCTCCTGCTTGTCCAGATCTGGGAAAACGATACTACACTTCATCAGTTTTGTTACCCTTATCTTTACATGGGGGCCTTGGCCCACCATGACTTTCTGCGTTGACAGTAGTGACCACAGTACCAAGTTACCAGGAGAGCCTCAAAACAAGGCACATCTGGCTTGGACCCAGGGCTCGCTGCGTGTGGTCACGCCCAGGTGTCTCCTCTGGAGGGTGGAAGCTGGCGCTGCTCCTTGGAAGGTACAGTGGTATGGACATGCCTCCAGCTGTCCCCTCACAGGACTAGGGTTTCCCTCCCAGGACTGTGACCTCGTTTGACCCTAGCAGCTAGTGTGCAGTACCCACCCAGACCCCAAAACCCACAGGCGGGGTGCAAGTCTTACCTGAGCTGCCTGGGTTCTCTTGCATCCCTCGGGGGTTTGCTGGAGGTGCACTTGGCACTTGCCTGCAGTGGTGGGATCCTGGACTTGCAAGGAATCAGTGGGAGAGAAAAAGAGAAGACCCCTCCAGGGAGGCCTGGCGGGAAGGTTCCCCAGGAAGCGCTTGAACCAGCTCCTGTGGCTGTCTGAGGCGCAGTCTGGTCCCCTTGGCACTGGGCCGGCTTTATAGGCTTCCCAGGGCTGCTCACTGGGCTCTGGCCGCTCCCTTGAAGGCCAGCATTAACTCTTTTTTTGCTGGCCTTTTTCCCCCACACTTTAACAATGAGCACAGTCCCACTAAGCATGGTTTTATGGAAGTTTCCAGTGTGACTGGTTTTCTTCACCCAGTGACACCCTTTTTTCCTTCTCTCTCTCTCTCTTTTTTTTAGTTTGAAGGGATTATAATAGATATTATGATCATTTGTTGAAACAAGCAACAGTATTCTTTCTTCTTTTAGCAGCTTACTGGCTTTAAAACTAAACACTGAATTTCACAAGTTAACATAGTAAGCATGTGAATAATACATAGAGAATTTATGACTTCACCAAGACATTTATGGAAAGAAATTTAAACACAAGAAGTAGCAGGTATTTGGTAAGAAATCGGTAAAACAGGTGGCTTTCTGCTCTAATCATTGACCACCCTTCTCTCCTCTGCTGCTTGGGAGCTGTCTGGGGCATGGATGGCTGATCAGGTCTTCCCTACCATCACTCCCGCTCCCAAAGTCCTAATGACCGAATGACTGTGTGTCTGGCTGCCATCTCTGACTTCCCACCTCCTGTTGTTGGAGTTTGTCCTCAGTTTTGGAGGAAGATTGGCCATGCAGCTCCAGAGCAGAGACCAGTGCCAGGCACTGTCCAAGGCTCTTGGGTACCACAGGCCTGAGCTGCCCTGGCTCATAAATTACATTTTAAGTGATCTTATTTATGCTTCCTTCTTGGTGTCTTTTTATCTTTTGATTTTTTTGGAGCTGTGAGCTTGAACACTGAGTGACCTTTTATGCACTGAACAACAAGTTGGCTGTGGTTGAGGATAAGTGGGAGCCAGCGCATCCTCCTCCCACAGTGCTGCCACAGGCTTGGAGAGGCAGGCACCCTTGCAGGTGGGACCCTGACAGTGCCATGTACCTCCGTGAATGTGGGCCCGGCCACTTGCTGCCCCGTGAGCTTTCTCTTCTCTATAGAGCCTGTTGAAAATGCACTTCAAGGTGTTCCGTATGATGCTGACTTAAAATCTTGCAGATATCTTGGGAAATGTATGCATATTTTAAAACAGAGGACCGTCTTAAAATTTTTATGGAAAAATACTAATCCTCTGGTGAAGAACTGTAGAAATGCGGACTCTTAATATGTTAACTTTTAAGAATTTGAATGGCATGATAAAATAAAGAGCTGATTGGCTCTCCATCTTTTGACCAGCTGCAAAGTCAAGATGATTTCAGCATTAAGAATGCCCACGACACCATTTTGAAAGAAACAAGTCATGAGAAAGTGCAGCTTCCTCTTGAATTAAATAAATAAAATAAAACCTAAACCTCGAAATAGCTGAGGCGTGCCACTTAAAAATAGCCACTCCCTGCTCTTGCTAACCCATGGCTCAGGGCTCAGGGCTTGGCCACTTGCTGGAGTTGTAAGAGGCTTTTGGCTCCTTGTAGTCCTGAGGCTGCCACTTTGCAGGTCCTAGTGGGTTTGCTGCAGGTGGTCGAGGGCCTGGCTCTGAGCTCATGCTTGAGGGGAAGAATGGGCAGCTGAATTGTGACGTAGCCATCTTGCTTGAAGCCCAGCCTCTCCATTAAAGTACTGGCACAGTCACCCAACTAACTAGTGCAGGGACAGGGCCCAGAGGGCAGGCATTTCAGTCCCAGGGCTCCTACTTGACATTTGCATGGAGAGGGGTGGGTTGGAGCTGTGGAAGTTTCTGGAAAGTCTGAAGAGCTGCTGTCATTTTTAAGTCTGACATCAGACGAGGCTTCCTGGTGCTGTCTGCACATGGTGCTCTGCGTGTGCTGTCTAGGGAGCCCTCCTTTGTATCTGGGGCTGGCTCTGGCCTCCATTTACTGGCGGATAGAGCTCAGGGAAGTAGTGTGAGTGGCCTCGCAGGGAGGACAGGCCAGTGTGCCATGTCCGCCTCCTTCTTGCCTTGTGGAGTTGATGTTCTTGTGGGTTTTTCGGTTTCTGTTCATCTGGGATAGGATAGTGTGAATGGAGGGAACTTAACAGGGAATCCAATAAGGTCAGATGGCAGTTAGTTAAATTTGGGAGCAGCTAATACTGGCTAATGCATAGAGAACAAACGCCAGTCAAATAAGATAGTTTCTCACTTCAGAAGCCCTCATAGGCGCCTGGACAGGGAACAGGTGTGGAATAGTCTGGACACTTTGTGGTGACCAGGGTCCTGCTCCTTCCTGTGACAATGGATATCCCTTGGGCAAGACTTAGTGGCACAGTCCGAGCAAGCCCACTTTCAGTGTTGCCGGGGGCCCCCCTCCTGGTTCTCCTCTCTTGCAGTGCTTGGGCCTATGTAGTGCTGGGCTTTTGGGTGAACCTAAGCCTTTGGGGTCATTCACAAGGTGGGGGCGTGTGGGGTTATTTATGGAGCTGGGTGCCTCTCCAAAACACCCTCAGCAGTTATTCATCTCCCAGCCCTCCCAACCTTCCCAGCCGCTGTCTTTCAGAGATAGTGACCTCATTAGGAACCCAGGTGTGCCCCAGGCACAGTGGCCATGCCTGTGAGAGGCTGAGATGGGGGGATCACAAATTCAAGACTTGCCTAGGAAATTACACCCTGTCTCTAAATAAAATTTTTAAAAAAGGGCTGTAGATGTAGTTCAGCAGCAGAGTGCCCCTAGGTTCAGTCTCCAGTACTGTAAAACACACAAACAGAACCCCAGGTGTGGGGAGTCA